GCAATGCCAATTTAGATCCCCCCCCTTTTTTTTACGTTTGTACTCCTTCCACTAACTTCAAGGATACTCTGAGTTAGCTAATACTGTAGATGGTTTGGGTTGAGCATATTTGCATAAAAGAGTGCATAAACTCAAATAGAGGGACTGCTATTATCCCAAAATCTGATCTTTGACATGTTTGTGACTCCAGAATAATACAGGAAGACTTCTCCTATAGGAAGCTGGTGACCATCAATGCACTTTGTTCTTTTGATGTTAGTCTGAAAAGACCCTATATTTTTGCAAAAAATGAGTGCAGATTTTTTTTTTTATCCAGGATTTTTTCTTAGACTGAAAATCTTACGAGAAACAGAAGTGAATATGTTTTCAGCAGTACTGGTCCAGAGTCTTCTGGAAAGTCCATGAACAAAATCTGAAGTCAACAGCCTGACCATACTGTTGTTGGAATATGAAATTTTCATGGTGTGTGTGTGTGTGTGTGTGAAAGAAAGAGAGAGGGAGGGAGGGAGAGAGAGAGAGGGAGGGAGGGAGGGAGATCCAAAAGCCTTTCTAATTCCTTCTAAAATGTCTTCCAGTGACTTCCACAACTTGAGACCCTGATCTCCACCTTTAAATTGGGAGCTGTGAGAAGCCAGTGAAAGTGCAGAGGAAACGTTAACTTTTATCATGAGAATTGGCTAGAACACACTTTCACAACTTGGATCTTGAGAGTATTCTGAACTGCAACTTCCATCATTCATTACCATTGGCTATAGTGGCAGTTGTAGCCCAGCCTCTGGAAACCCAAAGATGGGAAAGGCAGAGTGATAGTGAAGTGTCTTTGGACAGCATTATGGATCTGAAATCACATTCAATCATAATAGAACTAGGTAAGTGATACCATTATAATTCTGGAAGTCTCAGAATGGCTTCTACTTTTTACAGCAGCCGAGAACTCCTCTTCTTTGAAACACATATTCTTAAACCTAAAAATCTTTCTTTGCTTGCGTTATGAGCAAAGATGGAAAATTCACCTCTCCACAGCTAAACTTGACTCATTGGGCTAAAAGTTTGCATGTGCTTTTCAAACAGGAGCCCTCAATCTGGCACATCACATTCTGGCACCCGATGATGGGTCCAGAGGTGCTGCTGGTCTCAGAATGAGCAAAGCTGTTACCTGTTGCAGTGTTCAGACCACTGGAACTTCACCAGAAGGTCATGATTATATTATAATGTTTTAATGGGTTAATTAATAATATTGCTTGACTTGTTTATGTCTTAGAGTCTGTCTGATTGGGGCCAAATGCAAATATTGTGAAACAAACAAAAAACAAGAGGCCAGTAATATTCAGAAGAAACAAAAGTACAGGTTAGCCCTTTGAGGTAGTCCAGGCAAGAAACACAACCATGAGTACTGTCTTTATTGTAAGGTTACATTAACAGAATCTTGCAAGTCTGAAAGTACCTTTCCCCTCCCTTACTTTTACTCTCTCCAAAACTAGGGAGGGTCCCTTCTGAGATGCTTTCTCCACCCCTCCTCCTTCAAACTTAAAAGATTGTTTGTCAGACTGTTGTCTAGGCTGTGGCTCTTCCTCCTGCTCCCAAGGCCATTCCCACATTGTTATGGCCACTCTTTCAGTGATTGTTCAAAATCACGATGGCACTGAATGAGTGGTACTTACAAGTGGTCCTCAAGGTTCCAGCCATCGCAGCACCCCCATGGTCACATGATCGCAGTTTGGGAATTTGGCAACCGGTTCATACTTATGATGGTTGCAGTGTCCCATGGTTAAGTCATCGCCATTTGAGACCCTCCCTGCTGGCTTCCCATAAGCAAAGTCAGTGAGTCGCTCCCATTCCTGCTGCTTTTTCTCCCGAAGAGCCATGGTATGGATTACAAGGTCCTGGGGATCTCATACTCCATAGCACGTGCCCACCCACAGCACCCCCCTACCCTCACTCCATAGTTCCTGCCCACCATGCTTGCACTGCACCGCAGTAACCACCTTCCGCCATCCCACCTGCCTTCCCCATTGACTTTGCTTGTGGGAAGCTGGCAGGAAGTTGCAAGTTGCAGTCATGTGAGGTCCTCACTTAATGACCCATGGTCCTCACTTAATGACAGCAACTGGGGCTGCTGGGATTGCCATCACTAAGCAATGCGGTCACACGACATCATGCTTTATCACTGCATCGCTTAGCAATGGAAATTCTGGTCCCTGTTGCCATTATTAAGCGAGGACTGCCTGTACTATTACAGTATATAAGTAAACCCTTATGAAAATTAGAGGCATGGAACAATGTTATTCCCTTTTCAGTATGCGCCGTATCGCACTTTGATTACTTATGGGAAATGATGGCTGGAAAATATTGCTGACCTGTAATAGCTCGATCTCAAAATTCTGAAGGCATGATGTAGATACTTAAAGTAGTTTCTTGATACTTCCTGTGAGGAAAGCTCTTGAAAAAAGGCCATCTTTTATGAGAAGATGCTCAGAAACTGAACCTATGTTTATGCACAATGGTACAAGGTTTAGATCATACGAGCAAGCTAAGGGCAATGGAATTCTTGGCAAGGATAATACAATGGATGGCTGGTGATGGAAGGACATGAATGAGAAAATATTCTAGATAACACAACTTCACTAGTAGCATGTTGTAGTATTTAATATGCACTATTAGCAAGATCATTTGGAAAACCACACAAACACAGGCAAGAGGACCCAAAAGTCAGCCAGCCTTCACCAATCTGATGTTCTCTACATGTATTAGACTACACAATTTACAGGGCCAAAACGCTACGTGAGATTTTCTAGCAGCTGTAGTCCAACATTTTGGAAGGCACTGAGCTGGGAAAAGTGTTCTATGCAACTCCAGAGGTTTCTTCTCAACAGACCAACTGCCCTACCATTGATGTGGTATTGCTCCCTATGAGAAAACCAGTCAACACAAAGAGGAGACCATCAACCCAAAAGAAAAGCTGTAAGGACCTTCCTTCCTCCCTC